TTTTTCCCTTGACCAATATGAAGTGACCATCATTGTCTTTTTTGACTTCAGTTGCTTTAAATCCACATGTATCTGAAAATATGATTACAACCCCTCTTTTTTTCTGAATTCCGTTTGCCTGAAAAATTGTCTTCTAACTCTTAACTCTGAGTTTTAATTTATTTAATTAATTAATTTATTTATATATGTATATTTGAGACAGAATCTCAAGCTGTGGCCCTAGGTAGAGTGCTGTGGCGTCACAGCTCACAGCAACCTCCAACTCCTAGGTTTAAGTGATTCTCTTGCCTCCGCCTCCCAAGTAGCTGGGACTACAGGCGCTTGCCACAATACCCGGCTATTTTTTTGTTGGAGCCATCATTGTTGTTTGGCGGGCCTGGGCTGGAAAACTGCCAGCTCAGGTGTATGTGGCTGGTGCCTTAGCCACTTGAGCCACAGGCACTGAGCTTATTTATTTTATTTTTTTTGCAGTTTTTGGCCAGGGCCAGGTTTGAACCCGCCACCTCTGGTATATGGGGCCAGCACCCTACTCCTTTGAGCCACAGGCACCGCCTAACTCTGAGTTTTAATTTGTCTTTTGATATTAGGAATGCTTACATCACACTGGTTAATATATACCTGACTGGTTAATATATATCACACTGGTAATATATACCTGTGTTTCCTGCAGATGGCAAATTGATAGCTTGTGTTTTTTAATCCAATGAGCCGATCTATGTCTCTTCAGTGGGGAGTTCAAGCCATTGACATTTATTGAGATAATTGATAAGTGTGAGAGCGTTGTATCCATCTTATTTTGTGAAAGTCCGTTGTTTTGTCTTTTGCATCATTGTGGAAGCTAAGTTCTGTCCTTTAATTTTTGGGTGCTTACTTTGCTGAAGGTCCATTGTGATGGTCCATGTATAGAACAGGTTGAAGTATTTCTTGTAGGTCTTGTTGTGGCAAATTTCCTCAATGTTTGTATATCAATAAAAGATTTAATTTCTTCATCAGTTTTAAAGCTTAGCTCAGCAGGAATTCTGGGCTGGAAATTGTTCTGTTTAAGTAGATTAAAGGTAGATGACCATTGTCTTCTGGCTTGAAAAGTTTCATTAAAAAAGTCCGTGGTCACCTTGATAGATTTACCCCTGTAGGTCAGTTGGTGCTTACTCCTGACAGATTGCTAACTTTTTTCTTTTGTCTTGACTTTAGATAGATTCATCACAATGTGTCTTGAAGAAGCTCTATTTGAGTTGCGGCAACCAGGTACCAATATCTCTCTGAAAGGAGTATGTCAGAATCTTTGGTGATATTTGGGAAATTTTAATTTATAGTATTCTCTAGAATGGCTTCCATTCCTCTGGGGCATTCTTCCTCCCCTTCTGGAATACCTATAACTCGTATGTTTGAATTATTCATAAAGTCCCATAATTTTGTCAGTGAATGTTCTGCTTTGTCTCTCTTCTTTTCTGCCTCTTTAACTGAGTTATCTCAAGAGCTAGAGCTTTATCTTCTACCTCTGAGATTCTTTTCTCTGCATGATCTAATCTGTGGTTGATACTTTCTATTCCATCCTTAAGTTCCCCAATTAACTGCTTCAGTTTCTTTAGCTCTGCTATATCCTTTCTATATTCTTCATTTTGTTCATCTTTTATTTGATTCTGTTTTTGGATTTCCTTTCCACTTTCTCAGCAATTTCCTTCATTGTTTTTTGATCATTTTCCATTTTCTCAGCAATTTCTTTCATTGTTTTCACCATCTATTTTAAATTCCCCTTCTGTCATTTCTAACATTTCTTTATAGGGGGAAGCCTCTGCTGTAGCTACCTCATAGTCCCTTGAAGGGGTTGCTCTGGACTGGTATTTCATGTTGTCAGGATTTTTCTGCTGATTCTTCTTCTTGAGTGTTTTCTTGTATCTGTGTCCTTGCCCTGATTTTCCTTTCACTTCTTCTTGTTCTTTAAGTTACTGTGCCTCTGGCCTAAAGTTTTTTTTTTTTTGTAGAGACAGAGTCTCACTTTATCACCCTCAGTAAAGTACTGTGGCATCACACAGCTCACAGCAACCTCCAACTTCTGGGTTCAGGCTGTTCCCTTGCCTCAGCCTCCTGAGTAGCTGGGACTATAGGCACTTGTCACAATGCCCGGCTACTCTGGCCTAAAGTTTTAATGAGTCTTTTGGTATGGGACCAGAAGGATGAGAAGATTGAAGAGCAAGAAGGGGAAAAGGATTTAAAAAAGAAAGAAAAAAGAAAGAAAAAGAAAGAAAGAAGAGGGGGTGAGTAAAGGGAAATCTTGACAAAAAGAAGAGAGGCACCGAAAGGAGACAGGAGTAATATAGGTGTAGAGTAGGGTACTTTGACCCAACCTTAAAAACCCCAACCTCTGGGGGTGCTGGCTTGGGTGAGTCCCTTGAGGTCAGCAACTCTTTGCCTGCCTGATCAAACACAGTACCCCACCGTCACCAGGTAGAGAAGAAAGACAAAAATACTATAAATCTGCCTGTGGTCCCAGCTACTTGGGAGCCAGAGGCAGGACACTTGCTTGAGCCCAGGAATTGGAGGTTGCTGTGAGCTGTGATGCCACAGTACTCTACCCAGGGGACAGCTTGAGGCTCTGTCTCAAAAAACAAACAAACAAACAAAAAAACTATACATCAAACCAAAACAAAAACCCTTATGGGATAAATTTGGGGGAAAAAACAAGTAAGGGCAGAAACACTAGCAAAAATGAAGTTCTAATTGTTAAAGAAGGCAAAAATGGTAGATATTTAAACTAGAATAGTGAAGAAAATAAGAGAAAAAAGAAAAATGTAGAGGAAAAATGTTGAAATTAAGAAAAAAAACCCACCCAAAACAGAAAAACCCCAAATCCAAAAATAGTATATGTATAGGGTGACCAGATTCTAACATCTGTAAGGCGGGAAAACATGGGAGGGGAGCAGGGGTGAGGGGCAGGGGACGGTGCAGGGCAGGGCCTGACAACAAGGCAAACTTTGATAAGCAGTTCTCTGTAATCACTTCTCAGCAATTATTTATTACAGTTTAACATTATAACATTAACAAAAATAATATAAAACTCATATTCTGGCGAAATAGCCATATGGCAGCCGAAAACTGTATATTCCCTCCTTGTTCTCCAGCCCGTTTGTGCATTCTTTCCAAAAACCAGGACTTTTTTAAAACGCTGCGGGATGTGGGACAAATGGTTGAAAAGTGAGACTGTCCTGCCAAAATCGGGACATCTGGTCACCCTATATATGTCTCTTGCTGAATATGGCCCAGGCAACAGGTGATCTTCTGAGGTCTGAGATGTTAATCACAATGTTGATGCAGCTGTACAGATGGAGACTGGAGGCCTCTGCTGATTTCTCAGACCCTGGAGGCTTGTGAGCCCAACTGACTCCTCAGCCCCCTTAATAGACAATCCAAACTGTGAAACTTGGCTAAGCAGAAGCTTTCCAAGGAAAGCACTTATGGCTGGAATCTCTCCTGGCATGGCTGCCCACTTATCCAGTGCTCCAAAATCGGTCTCACTCCATGTCCCTGAGGGCCAAGGCTATAATCTGCCGCACACTCAGATCTCTGCTCTTCCCCAGCGTCTCAGTCCCCACCTTTGGGCAGCTCAGTCACTGGGTTACTCTCTCAAGATCTCCCAGCCAATCCTCACGCTGCAACCTGCAGGGGGAGCTCCCGCACAGTGGCTGTGGGGGCAGCCCACAGCTGAGGCTCAGTGGCTCGGTCTGGGGCCCCAGTCAATGCCCAAAGTTGTCGGCACACGGCCCCAAAATCTCCCAAGGCAGTTCATTCAAGTGTCCAAATCCAAAAAACCCCAAACAGCCCACAGGTAAGGCTTTTCCTGCTTGCAGTCTTCCTGTTGCTATGGTTATAGCGCAGGCAGCCTCCCACCAAAAAAAAACGCACCTACCATTTACCAGTTCTCCACTGCTTTTGTCCTCCTTCTGGGGTCCAGAAGTCTCTCGCTGACTCCCTGTGTCATTAAAGGGAAGTTTCTGGGCAGATCCCACCAGCCAGAGATGCCTAGAGTCTTCTATACCCAATCTTACTGTGCCCAGTTGCACAGAAGTGGTTACTCAGCCACCATCTTGCTCTGGAAGCCAGACCATTTTTATTTTAAGGCATTTTTCTATGGACTATTGATGAAGTAGGTCCTTCTTAAGGATGAAGAAAATGAGGCAGAGAGAGCTTGTGTTACTTTCCCAAAGTCATTCAACTTAGTTATTAAGAGTGGTTTTGGAATTGAGCTGTAGCTTTTATTTTTTTCAGAGCCTGTGATTTTTAACCCCAAATGGTACAGTAATCTAAAGTTATTCCAAATGGTAATCCATATGGCTAAAGGAAATCAGCCCCATGAAGGTGGGTGTAGACTTCACTGTGGAAGACCTGGAAAGCTGTGTTGATGAATTTTGAACTTTTAGGGAAAAAAGATCTCATTTATTTAATTTCATTCCACGTCAAATAAAATATGTCATGTACTAGTTATAGCAGAAATGATTGTAGAGGGACACTATCCAGTTCAGTAGCTATCAGCCACATGTACCTCATGGACAGTTGGTAGTCCACATTGAGATAGTCTATAATGTGAAATACACAGTGGATTTTAAAGATGGTACAAAAAATGTAAATTGGCTCAGCAGTACTTTTTTATATTGAGTAATTGAAATGGTAATATTTTGGATAAATTGGCTTAAATAAAATATATTGTTAAAAGTAATTTTTTTTGTTCACTTGTTTTGGTTTCTTTTTTTTTTTCCCAGCCTTTTCAAAATGTCATTGCTAGAAAATTTAAAACTAGGCTCAGTGCCTGTGGCTCAAATGGCTAAGGCGCCGGCCACATACACCTAAGGTGGCGGGTTCGAATCCAGTCTGGGCCTGCCAAACAACAATGACGGCTGCAACCAAAAAATAGCCAAAAAAAAACCAGACATTGTGGCGGGCCCCTGTAGTCCCAGCTACTTGGGAGGCTGAGGCAGGAGACTCGCTTGAGCCCAGGAGTTGGAGGTTGCTGTGAGCTGTGATGCCACGGCACTCTACCCAGGGGGACAGCTTGAGGCTGTATCTCAAAAAAAAAAAAAAGAAAAAAGAAAAAAAAAGAAAATTTAAAACTATATATGTGACTCAATATTGGACAGTAACATCATTATAGGTAATACAGGTAATATAAAATGAATAAAGAGTTAAAAATTACTTACAATGAAACTGTCAACACTTTAATGTGATTTTCTTTCCTTTCTTTCCTTCTTTTTTTTGAGACAGAGTCTCAAGCTATCACCCTGGGTAGTCCTGTGGCATCATAGCTCACAGCAACCTCAAACTCTTGGGCTTAAGCAATTCTCTTGCCTCAGCCTCCCAGGTAGGTGGGACTACAGGCGCTCACCCACAACACTTGGATATTTCTTTTTCTTTTCTTTTTTTTTTAGAGACAGAGTCTCACTTTATCACCCTCAGTAGAGTGCTGTGCCATCACAGCTCACAGCAACCTCCAACTCCTTGGGCTTATACGATTCTCTTGTCTCAGCTTCCCGAGTAGCTGGGACTAAGGCACCCACCACAGTGCCCGGCTATTTTTTGTTGCAGTTTGGCCAAGGCTGGGTTTGAACCCGCCACCCTCCGTATATGGGGCCTGTGCTCTACCCACTGAGCCACAGGCGCTGCCCACACCTGGCTATTTTTTTGTTGCCATTATTGCTTTGCAGGCCTGGGCCCGGTGGGTTCGAACTGGTATGTGGCGGGCACCCTGCCAGCTGAGCTATGGGTGCTGCCTAATGTGGTTTTCTTTAATATGTGTATAGATGTTTCTCAAAAGGGGTTTAGTATTCTGTGTAGATTTTTTTCCCCCTTAACTATGCTGTGGAAATTTTTAACCATATACAACTCTAAAGAGAATAATCCAGTGAATCCCGTGTAATCAACACTTTATTTCAACATTTGTTGCAAACTGTCTACTCTCCTTGTGTTTTACTAGAGCATTTTAGACATATCCCAAATATAAGATCACTTTTTGTTTTGGTTTGGTTTTTTTTTGAGATAGAGTCTCACTCAGTCTCCCTGGGGTTGAGTGCTGTGGTGTTATTACTCACAGCAACCTCAAACTCTTTGGGCTCAAGTGATTCTCTTGCCTCAGCCTCCCTAGTAGCTAAGATTATAAGTGCCCACTACAACGACCAGCGATTTTTAGAGATGAGGTCTCACTCTTGCTTAGAGCTGGTCTCAACTCGTGAGCTCCAACAGTCAGCTTGCCTCAGCTTCCCAGAAGGCTAGGGTTACAGGCGTGAGCCACCGGCCTGGCCAGGTCACCTTTTCTTACATTCTACCATGACTTCTGAAACTAAAGGTTTGTTTTGGCATTTACTCAGTACATTATTTATCTTTTTCCATTCTTTTTATTTCAGGCATTTTTGTCGTATTTTAATAGTGTCGGTGAGGATATAATTGGATTTTTTTTTTTTAATGCAGTCTGGAAAAATCTGTTTGTGATATGTATGTGTATGTTTCTACCATACATGAGTCTGTGTTTTTAATTTGCATGCTTTGCATTGTTTCTTTTTCTTTTTTTGTCATCAGTTTATTCCCTTTTATTTGTTCTCAACTGGTTTTGAATTTATATGGTTTTGTGTCATTCTTTTAATTTTTAAAAATTACTCTTTTGCCAGGCACAGTGGCTCCCACCTGTAATCCTAGCACTCTGGGAGGCTGAAGCAGGTGGATTGCCTGTGCTCACAGGTTCAAGACCAGCCTGAGCAAGAGCGAGACCTGCCTTCCCGCCTCCCCATTTCTAAAAATAGCCAGGCTTGTGGTGGGCCCCTGTATTTCCAGCTACTTGGGAGGTCAAAGCAACAGAATTGCTTGAGCCCAGGATTTTGAGGTTGCTGTGAGCTATGACACTACAGCTATGACACTACTGAGGGCAACAAAAATGATACTCTATCTAAAAAAAAAAAAATTTACTCTTTCTCAACAAATGCTAAATTTATTCACCAAGTATTCTTACTCTGAAAAATAGAGACTAAAAAAATACAATTAAATGAAGTACTTTTTTTTGAAATATAGGCTAGGTTTTTTGGTCCATGTTTTATTATAACCACCCTCAAAATTTGTCTATACTTCTCGGAGGTTCTTTTTTTTTTTTTTTTTTTTTTTTTTGCAGTTTTGGCTGGAGCTGGGTTTGAACCCACCACACCTGGTATATGGGGTTCACACCCTACTCCTTGAGCCACAGGTGCTGCCCCTCTTTTTTCCCCCCTTCTTTTTTTCTAGAGACAAAGTCTCACTTTATTGCCCTCTGTAGAGCACACTGAGATCACAGCTCACAGCAACCTCCAACTCCTGGCCTTAGGCAATTCTCTTGCCTCAGCCTCCCCGGTAGCTGAGACTAAAGGCACTTGCCAGAGCGCCTGGCCACTTTTTTGTTGCAGCTTGGCTGGGGTCGGGTTTGAACCCGCCACCTTGGTATATGGGGATGGTGCCCCACACACTGAGGCACAGGCATCACCCTCGGAGTTTTTTTTAAACAAAGATTATGTTGCCAGTGTTTTGCAAATGTTTTCTTACTGTCGCTTCTTGAAGTTCGTTTTTCAGGGTTCACATAGTTATACATTTTCTTCATTTCTGCTCAGCTAAAATATTGTTCTTTCCTCATGTAAATAATTGTTTAGTTGGGCGGCGCCTGTACCTTAGTGGGCAGGGCGCTGGCCCCATATACCAAGGGTGGCAGGTTTAAACCCGGCCCTGGCCAAACTGCAACAAAAAAATAGCTGAGTATTGTGGTGGGTGCCTGTAGTCGCAGCTACTTGGGAGGCTAAGGCAGGGAATCGCCTAAGCCCAGGAGTTGGAGGTTGCTGTGAGCTGTGTGATGCCACGGCACTCTACGGTGGGCGATAAAGTGAAACTTTGTCTCCACACAAAATAATAATAATAATAGTTTAGTCGAACGTTGAATTCAGGGGTAACAATTATTTTGTTTCTTCACTTTGGGGATAATATTCACTTGGGTTTTGTCTGTGTGTGTTTTTCTTTTTCTTTCTTTTTTTTGAGATAGAGTCTCATTATGTCACCCTTGCTAGAGTGCAGTGGTGTCACAGCTCACAGCAACCTCCAGCTCTTGGGCTCAAGTGATTCTCTTGCTTCAGCCTCCCTAGTAGCTTGGACTATAGGTGCCCACCACACGCCTGCCTATTTTTTTTGTTGTTGTTGTTGCAGTTATTTAGCAGGCCCTGGCCAGGTTCAAACATACTAGCCCCAGTGTATGTGGCTGGCACCCTAATTTAGGCACTGAGCAAAGGCACCGAGCCAATATTAACTTGTTTTAAGTCTCCATTCCGTTACCCTATTTCTGTTATTCTAATTGTTGTTTCTTTCAGGTAAACTATTCCTTCTTCAAGCTTTAAGATGTTTTTGTTGTTTTCAGTTTTTGTGTTTGTTTAAGTCTTTTGCATTCCTGAGTTGTGCTGTGATTTGTTCTGTTTTAATTATATTCTTCAGAATTTCTGTGAACTCATGTCTTTTATCAGTGGTAGGAAATCCTCAGCAATTAGCTCTTGAAATTAAGGCACTCTGCCATTTCCTCCATTCTCTTCTTCTCACATTCGTATTAAACAAATGCCATAGCCTCTTAATTTATCTTTAATGTTTCTTGATTTTTTTTTTTTTTGATAGAGTCTCACTTTGTCACCCTGGGTAGAGTGGTGTGGCGTCACAGGTCCCAGCAACCTCAAGTCTTGGGCTTAAATGATTCTCTTGCCTCAGCCTCCTGAGTAGCTGGGACTACAGGTGTCCCCCACAATGCCTGGCTATTTTTGGAGATGGGTTCTCACTCTAGCTCAGGCTGGTCTTGAACTTGTGAACTTAGGCAATCCACTATCTCAGCCTCCCAAAGTGCTAGGATTACAGCTTAGGCAATCCACTATCTCAGCCTCCCAAAGTGCTAGCCACTGTGCCTGGCCTTTCTTGATTTTTTTTTTATTTGTTCTTTCTCTTTGCTATGTATTTTTGTCTCCATGCTCATAGGATAAAAAGGATTTACTAGTGATCCTTTTCTGGCTTCATGAAGTAAATTGACCTGAAATGATTCTAGAAAAGTAATACTAGTATCAATAAAGTATTACTAGCTAGGCAACAAATTACAAGGTAAGAAGACTTTGGAAGTCCATATTTGCCTTTTCGGGAATTAAAGGCGACTTTCATACGAAAGCAATATTGCAAGCATAGTTTATGATGCACTGTATCATCTGCTCTTTTTGTAGCTACAAAAGAAGGGGACTCCTGGTTCTTAGAACTTTCCATCTACTCATTTAATTCTTGGAACAATCCTATGAGGTAGGTACGATTTACACTTCTTTATTTATTTATTTATTTGAGACCGAGTCTTACTATGTCGCCCTCAGTAGAGTGCCTGTGGTGTTACAGCTTGTGGAACATCCAACTCTTGGGCTTAACCAATTCTCTTGCCTCAGGCTCCTAAGTAGTGGGGACCACGGCACCCGCCACAATGCCCGGCTTTTTGTTGTTGTTGTTGTTGTTGCAGTTGTCATTGTTGCTTTAGCAGGCCCAGGCCTGGTTCAAACCCACCAGTCTCTGGGTATGTGGCTGGCGCCAAGCCAACCTCAAACTCTGGGGCTCAAGCAATCTTCTTGCCTTTGCCTCCTGAGTAGCTGGGACTACAGGCGCCCACCACAATGCCCAGCTTCAATTTGTACTTCTTATCCTGTTCTCATTGTATAAATGACAAAACTGAGGCACAGAGATTTTTTTAATATCCCTCAGGTTACAATAACGGTAAGTATCATTTCTAGGTATTAAACCCAGGCACTTCATTCTAGAGCCTACTTCTTTTCACATTGTCTTTCATTTCCTACCATTCTCACAATCAGAAACTCTTAACAGTAGAGATACTCCATTTGGCTATGCAGAAGGTTCACTGCCTAGTGGTATTCAACTGAAGTCCTATTAGTAGCTGGAATTTAGTTCATACTAGGCTTATGAAGCTAACGTGTGACTGTATCTGTCTGGATGTTGGGTCACTCTTGTGTGATTTCCACAAAGATACACACACACACACTGATGGCAGCTATGGCCTGTTTCTCATGGCTTCTTTGGTCTTCCCTAGTTATGCCTTCTTGTGACTCTGACCTTCCTCAGAAGGACCCAGAGAAAATGACCAGGTTCCAGGTAAGTAAGATGTTCCTTTCTATTCACTGAAGATGTGACTTTATTTCTCAGAGATGAGGCACATCTTTTTTCCCTTTTTTTGGAATGGTTTAAGAAAACAAAAGGTCTTCAGTGCATGTTGTATGGCAGATATGTGTGTGTGTTGTTTGTTTTAGTTTATTACCTTTATTATTTTACAAAACAATCTTAGAAAAAAATAATAGAAACTTGGGTGGCTCCTGTGGCTCAAGAAGTAGGGAGCCGGCCCCATAATACTGGAGGTGGCTAGATTCAAACCCAGCCCTGGCCAAAAACTGCAGCAGCAGCAACAACAACAACAACAAAATAAGTAGAAACTTTTAACCAGTCAAAAATAATCTACATTATTACCCTACTTTTAAATTAGCCTTTTCCACTTTCTTATAATTCTTTTTCATATGGATCTGTAACTGTGTATTTGCAATATAGGAATAGATGAAATTTTAAATTGTGTTTTCTTCACTTAATTACATCACCTGCATTTTAAGTGCCATTGAATTGCAATATCCTTTAAAATAAAACAAAAAGCCATTCCTTATTCAGACTTTCAGAGAACTTAAGAATTTTACTACTTTAAAGTAAATGCAGTTGATACTTTCACTACATAGAAATTTTGCCCTTGAAATGCAATTCCAGTGGAACTCTGCATTGTTTATCCTTAAAAGTTTTATTAACTCTTACGTTGAAGAGGTTCATGTCTAAATTTCATGATGGTTCCCTCAGGTATTTTGTAAACAAATCATCCAAAGTATGAGTTGGTGTCATACTATCATTATTGCTTTATTAAATTTTTTTTTTAGAAGAGACGGAGTCTTACTTTGTCACCCTCGGTAGAGTGCCGTGGCATTACAGCTCCACCTCTTGGGCTTAGGCGATTCTCTTGCCTCAGCCTCCCGAGCAGCTGAGACTACAGATGCCTACCACAACGTCTGGCTATTTTTTTGTTGCAGTTTGGCTAGGGCCGGGCTTGAACCTGCCATCCTTGGTATACAGGGCTGGCGCCCTACACACTGAGCCACAGGTGCTGCCCCTGGTGTAGTACTAGTAGATGTTTTCGGAGAAAAGCTATATTTTTTTCTTTCTGTGTATGTATGTATATTTTCATTACTCATGAAAATGAATATTTAAATGAGTACTTAAATGTCTTGCCAGCCCTTTGTCTCATTGCACTATTCCTCAGAGCACTTTGTGTGGAAGGAGGTGCTTTATGGGAATATCTTAGAACTTCCCCAAATTTCCCAGGTAGCCAGTTTGTTGGACCCTAAAGCTTCTGACTATTAGGTTAAGAATATCTGGCATTTCATTGTCATGAAAAGGCAGACAGAGGAATAGATTTTTCATTCAGAAACCTGAGTGCATATCAGGCAAGTTTCTAACATGATCTTTTGGAGGGTGGACCCAAGTGATGCCCATCATCCAGTTCCCATCTCGGTGCCTGTATCTTCTCTACTAGTTTGTTTCCTTGTCATTCCATAAACCTAGATGCTCAGGCACACTTGTGATATAAATGTTCTCAATTTCCCTACAGCAAAAGCTATTATGCAAAATGGTAAAAGACAATAACCAATTGGTGAGATATCCTTAAATGTTTGGTATAGGTAAAAGTTTAATGACTTAAATTCTTGTTAAGATTAATAAGATAAAGAAGGCTTGGTGCCTATAGCTCAAGCGGCTAGGGCGCCAGCCACATACACCGAAGCTGGGGGGTTTGAATCCAGCCCAGGCCTGCCAAACAACAATGGCAACTACAACCAAAAGTCAGGTGTTGTGGCAGGCACCTGTACTCCTAGCTACTTGGAAAGATGAGGCAAGAGAATCGCTTAAGCCCAAGAGTTTGAGGTTGCTGTGAGCTGTGACACCACAGCACTCTACCAAGGGCAATAGCTTGAGACTGTCTCAAAAAAAAAAAAAATAACATAAAGAAAACCCCACTGTAATAAATGAGCAAAATAAATGAATAGGAGTGTCATGAAAGAAGGAAACAAATTTATGTCTCCCAAAATCTTCATTAATAATCAAATATGTGGCTCGGCGCCTATAGCTCAACCTGCTAAGGCGCCAGCCACGTACACCTGAGGTGGCGGGTTCGAATCCCCAGCCCGGACCCGCCAAACAACAATGACGGCTGCAACCAAAAAATAGCCGGGCGTTGTGGCGGGCGCCTGTGGTCCCAGCTGCTTGGGAGGCGGAGGCAGGAGACTCGCTAGAGCCCAGGAGTTGGAGGTTGCTGTGAGTGTGATGCCACAGCACTCTACCCAGGGGGACAGCTTGAGGCTCTGTCTCAGAAAAAAAAAAATAATAATAATCAAATATGTGGGGTGATGCCTGTGGCTCAGTGAGTAGGGTACTGAGGGTGGTGGGTCAAACCCAGCCCCAGCCAAACTGCAACAAAAAATAGCCAGGTGTTGTGGCGGGCACCTGTAGTCCTAGCTACTCGGAAGGCTGAGGCAAGAGAATCGCCTAAGCCCAAGAGCTGGAGGTTGCTGTGAGCTGTGACACTACAGCACTCTACTGAGGGTGATAAAGTGAGACCTTGTCTCAAAAAAAAAAAAAAAATCAAATATGTGAAAGATGTTAATAAAAAAGAGCTTTCTCTCAAACCAGCCAGGGAAGGAGAAATAACCTGAGTGAGAATGGTGGGATATGAGAAAAAAGAGACAAGAGACAGGATGGGATCGGGAGGGCTGGAGCAGCCAAGACTTCAGCCAGCACTGAACTGTGGAAACAGCTTTATTTAAATAGTATCTAATCAAGGTAAATCTTAACACCTGGTGAAGATTAACTTTAAGGATGAAAAGCTGTGTGCTGGCTGATAATAAGGAGAGTATGCATGGGCTATATGACTTCTGGCAGAAGAGAAAAGAACGTCTGTTAAAGGAGGAGAAGCAGCTGGGGAGTCATTCCTTGAACGTCTCCCTAGGCTGTGGGGGCCCTGCCACCTCACAGCCTGTATTCCACAGCTTTCTGTTTATATATTTATTTTATTAAGATTGTCAAAGTTTTTTTTTTTTTTTTTTTTGAGAAAAAGAAACTAAATCCTATTTGGTCAGGGTCTAGAAATTTGCGAGCACTGGTACTCTTGTGTGAAAAGTTAATTCAGAAAACCTTTTCAGAGGCAAATCTGCCATTGTGCTTTCAAATTTTTATTTTATTTTATTTCTTTTCTATTTTTATTTTTATTCAATTCTGAGGCAGAGTCTTAGTCACCCTGGGTAGAGTGCCGCGGCAATGTAGCTCACAGCAGCCTCACACTCTTGGGCTCAAATGATCATCTTTGCCTCAGCTTCCTGAGTAGCTGGGACTACAGGTGCCTGCCACAATCCTTGGCTAGTTTTTCTATTTTTAGTAGAGATAGGATCTCACTCTTGCTCAGGCTGGTCTAGAACTCCTGAGCTCAAGCAATCCACCCTCCTCTGCCTCCCAGAGTTCTAGGGTTATAGGCTGAGCCACCATGCCAGGCTGCTTTCAAAATTTTAAAAGTAAATATTCCAGGACTTTGTAATTTCAGCTTCTTGACTAAGATCTCTCTAAAATGTTTTTTTGTTTTTTTTGGTTTTTTTTGGAGATAGAGCCTCAAGCTGTCCCCCTGGTAGAGTGCTGTGGCATCACAGCTCACAGCAGCCTCCAACTCCTAGGCTCAAGCGAGTCTCCTGCCTCTGCCTCTGCCTCCCAAATAGCTGGGACCATAGGTGCCTGCCACAATGCCCGGCTATTTTTTGGTTGCAGCCGTTGTTGTTTGGCAGGCCTGGGCTGGATTCAAACCTACCACCTTAGGTGTATGTGGCTGGCACCTTAGACACTTGAGCCACAGGCACTGAGCCTCTCTGAAATGAATTTTTTTTTTTTTTTTGAGACAGAGACTCAAGCTGTCCCCCTGGGTAGAGTGCTGTGGCATCATAGCTCACAGCAACCTCCAACTCCTGGGCTCAAGCGAGTCACCTACTCTACCTCCCAAGTAGCTGGGACTATAGGCACCCACCATAACACCCTGCTATTTTTTGGTTGCAGCTGTCATTGTTGTTTCGGTGGGCCCAGGCTGGATTTGAACCCGCCACCTTAGGTGTATGTGGCTGGAGCCTTAGCCACTTCAGCCACAGGTGCCAAGCCTCTGAAATGATTTTTGCAGTATTGATTACAAGTTAAATCTCTAATTAGGGCAGCACCTGTGGCTCAAAGAAGTAGGGCGCTGGGCCCATATACTGGAGGTGACGGGTTCAAACCCAGTCCTGGCCAAAAAGTGCAAAAAAGTAAAAAAATAAATAAATAAAAATCTCAAATTAATTATATATGATTTAGATTGGTTAAAGATAAATTATCATTTCCAAGGACTACTACTTATGCAATCACAAAATGGGATGAAAGAGATCATAATATTAGGATTTTTATTATTTTTTATTTTTTTAGAGACAGAGTCTCACTTTGTCACCCTTGGTAGAGTGCTGTGGCATCACAGTTTACAGCAACCTTCAGCTCTTGGGCTTAGGTGATTCTCTTGCCTCAGCCTCCCAAGTAGCTTAGACTGTAGGTGCCTGCCACAACACCCGGCTATTTTCTTTGTTGTTGCAGTTTGGCCGAGGTCAGGTTCAAACCTGCCACCCTTATATGGGGCCGGCACCCTACTCACTGAACCACAGGCGCCGCCCAATATTAGGATATTAATTGTTCAAATTTATTGAACATTTGTGATGTGCCAGGCACCATTCTAAGTACCTTATATATATTCACTAATCTAATCCTTTCAAACACATTATGATTTAGATACTGTCATAGAGAAGAGAAAATTGAGATTGTGAGAGATTAAGGAATCTGCCCAGGGTCCTGTAACTCATAAAGGACATAGCCTTGAAATTTGTTATCAGATAGCATGACTCCAGAGCCTGCACCTTAACTAGCTGTAAATGCTGCAATAGGTGGATGTGGCATGTGTGTTGAAAACAGAGGAAGAACTATATACCTGTCCTGGAAGATTGCTGAAGGCCTATGAACTCTGGAAACATTATGGGGATGGGGGAAGGAGACAATCAGTAGGACAACCGTTGAAACTAAAAATTGACTCTCAGAATCTGTAACAGTTGGTTTGTAATAATCTTTATCCTTCTTGGTACCATCCTTTTTTCAGTGGAGGTTTGTTGTAAGATTGAGGTACATCTGCTTGATGTTGTAGGAGGCAGTGACATTCAAGGACGTGGCTGTGGTCTTCACTAGGGAAGAGCTGGGGCTGCTGGACCTTGCCCAGAAGAAGCTGTACCGAGATGTAATGGTGGAGAATTTTAAGAACCTGGTTGCAGTAGGTGAGGACACGAACCCTCTGACACTTAATCTCGACTCCTTTAAGAGTCTCTGGGCTCGGCGCCTATAGCTCAACTGGCTAAGGCGCCAGCCACGTACACCTAAGGTGGCGGGTTCGAATCCCCAGCCTGGACCCGCCAAACAACAATGACGGCTGCAACCAAAAAATAGCCGGGCGTTGTGGCGGGCGCCTGTGGTCCCAGCTACTTGGGAGGCGGAGGCAAGAGACTCGCTTGAGCCCAGGAGTTGGAGGTTGCTGTGAGCTGTAATGCCATGGCACTCTACCCAGGGGGACAGCTTGAGGCTCCGTCTCAAAAAAAAAAAAAGAGTCTCTGTATCCTCAGTTTTTTAAGGCTTTGGACCTTTTGAAATGGTTCCCTGCTGCTCTTAAAGACAAAAGTTGTTCTAATCCCTAGGATTAATAGGAATAGATTTTTCTGGTCTTTCTGCTTAGGCACATTTCTGTCCTTTTAAATCACTAGTTCTCAACTAGGGATGATTTTGTCCCCAAAGGATATTTGGTGATGTCTGGAGACTGTTGGTTGTCACAGCTGGGGGAAGGGTACTTTTGGCATCTAGTGGGTAGTGGCCAGGGCTGCTGCTAAATTCCCTATAATACACAGGACAGCCCCCATAACAGAGAATTAGCTATTCCAAAATAGTAGGGCTACAACTGAGAAACCCTATTTTTCTTGTTTTTGTTTTTGTTTTTTTTTGAGACAGAGTCTTACTCTGTTGCCCTAGGCTAGAGTACCATGGTGGTATCTTAGCTCACAGCAACCTCAAACTCTTGGACTCAAGCCATCCACTTGCCTCAGCCTCCTGAGCAGCTGGGATTACAGGTGCCCCCCACAACACCCGGCTAGTTTTTCTGTTTTTAGTAGAGACAGGGTCTTGCTCTTGCTTAGGCTGATCTTGACTCCTAAACTCAAGCAATCTACCTGCCTTGGCCTCCCAAAGTTCTAGGATTAGAGGCATGAGCCACCATGCCTAGAGAAACCCTGTTCTAAATGGACAACTTACCTTCTATATTTTTTCTTTTGGATACTTTGTCTTTCAAATTATGATTGTGACTCATTGGTAGGTCATGAAATCAACTTTATGCATTTTATTGATTTTTTTTCAATGAAATAGAATAAAATAGACAATTTCAGAGTTTCTTCTCAAGAATCACATACGTTGCAAAAAAAACACTGACCATTTTCATTGAGTGATATGAGATTGAGTGTTGGAAATTCAATGAAAAGAAACATTGGCTAAATCTAATTTTATACACACACATGCACAGGTGAACTAGGCCATGACCGAAATTGCTTATTGTAGTTCATGATCCAAAAAGTCTTAAAATATCACATTAGAGGTTCTGAGGATCATAAGATATAGACAAAAATATATTTCTGTTGTGTTTTCATCTTAGGTGTATATTTATCTTTCTGTGTTTTCACAGGGCATCTTCCCTTCAAACCAGATATGGTATCCCAGTTGGAAGTAGAAGAAAAACTTTGGGTAACAGAAACAGAAACCCAAAGAAATGGTCATTCTGGTGAGAACCGCGCAGCTTTTCTTTCAGGTACTAGCTAATCTGTATCTTGCCACATCCATAATTACTATCCTTGTCTGAGTGCTGTCATCTCTCACCTAGATTATGACAACAGCATCCATAGTGATTTCCATGATTCCTCTCTTGCACTTCTGTAATCCATTCATTCTCCACATGGTAGCCAGAGTGGTTCTATAAAAAGCACAATTAGATCATACCATTCCTCTGCTCAGAACCTTTCCCATTTCACACAAAGTCATTATACAAGACTGCAAAACCCTGTCTGATCTGATCTCCTCACCAAGTTTCTTTTTGATCTCCTATCCCTTTCCTTTTGCTTAGATCATCCTGGCTGTATTGGCTGCCCATAGAGTGTATCATAGATATCCTAAGTTCCTCTGTTTTTCTGGCCTTTGATTAGCTTTTTTCTCTGCCTTAGTATAGAGTTTCCCCAGCCCTTCTTTACTACACTCAAGTTGTAACTCAAATTTTATCTTATTAAGGAGGCCTTCTGTGTTTAAATGAATGAATGATTTTTTTTTTTTTGAGACAGAGTCTCACTATGTTGATGGAGTGCTGTGGTGTCACAGCTCACAGCAACCTAAAACTCTTGGGCTCAAGCAATTCTCTTGCCTCAGCCTCCCAGTAGGTGGGACTACAGGCACCTGCCACAATGCCCAGCTATTTTTTGGTTGTAGTTGTCATTGTTGCTTGGCAGGCCCAGGCTGGATTCAAACCTGCCAGCTCTGGTGTATGTGGCTGGCACCCTAGCCACTGAGTTACAGGTGCCGAGCCATGAATGAATGTTTGAAATAATTATTCTTTTGAAAAGGAGTGAAGACCCTCTCCTCCGAGCTTCTCCTAACCCATAACACCAGCCTTCTCCATTCAGGAAGAGTACCTCTTCTGTGCACCCAGCTGGCTTGTTCACGCTCCACCTCTCCTTTCCATGCCCTCCATTCTCTCTCACAGCTGCCCTTTTCACTTCATTTTCTTGTCCCCCTTTTCCTTCCTCCTTCTTTCCTTTCTCTTTAATTTGCGTATTCCTCAGGCCTGTCCATTTAAAAACTAAAAGTAAAAATTATTCCTAGAGGATATAAATTTATATAATCACTTCCCACCCAAAAAATAGAACAGAGAGGCTTATCTGCTAATGTGATAGACTAGACACTGAATCCTGTCAGCAGTTGATAGATAGAATTCATCTTTTTTTGTCCATCTTTCCTTTTTAGGTCTACATTGATGTGTTTAGGAATGTTAGATACTTGCTTCACTTTACTGATTGCACTTTTACATGCAGCCTTTGTCTTGGGAATTATCCTAAGTTAATTATTTTTGCATAATAGACAAAATCTCTTTCTTTTTTTTGACACAGAGCCTCAAGCTGTCACCCTGGGTAGAGTGCTGTGGCATCACAGCTCACAGCAACCTTCGACTCCTGGGCTCAAGCGAGTCTCCTACCTCAGCCTCCCAAGTAGCTGGGACTACAGGCGCCCACCACAATGCCTGGCTATTTTTTGGTTGCAGCCATCATTGTTGCTTGGTGGGCCCGGGCTGGATTGGAGCCTGCCACCTTAGGTGTATGTGGCTGGCACCTTAGCCACTTGAGCCATAGGCACCGAGCCAACAAAGTCTCTTTTAACAAGTCTCATAGTATTTCCTGCAATTCTTTCTCAAACTTTTTTTTACCTCTTAACATCAACATGTTTCAGGATTTTGCAGCCATGTTCCATAGACAAATTATATTTAAAAATATTCCCTTTTTTTTTTCTTTTGAGACAAAGCCTCACTTGGGTAGACTGCTGTGGCATCATAGCTCATAGCAACCTCAAACTCTTGGGCTCAAGTGATCCTCTTACCTCAGCCTCCTGGGTTGCTGGAACTACAGGCACTTACTACAACACCTGTCTATTTTTTAAGAGATGGGGTCTTGCTCTTGGTCAGACTGGTCTTGAAATCCTGAGCTCAAGTAATCCCCCAGCTTCAGCCTCCCAGAGTGCTAGGACTACGTGCATGAGCCATAGCACCTGGCCTAAAAACATTATTTTTTTTTTAAACTCACCACTATACTAACAAGGATAAAAACATTCTCTATAGGTCAAAAGAGCGCAGATTAAAAGAGCTTATTTTAATAAAAATTCTTTTTTTTTTTTTTTTTTGAGAGAGTCTCACTTTGTCACCCTTAGTAGAGTGCTGTGGCATCACAACTCACATCAACCTTTTGGGCTTAAATGATTCTCTTGCCTTAGCCTCCAAGTGGCTGGGACTACAGGCACCCACCATAATGCCCAGCTATTTTTAGAGGTCTCTCTCTGGCTCAGAGTCTCAAACCTGTGAGTTCAGTCAATCTACCTGCCTTGACCTCCCAGTGTGCTAGGATTACAGGCATGAGCCATGTCCGGCCTATAAAGATTCTTAAAAAGCTATGGAGAGTGGAGACAAGTGGATATCACATCCTTAGGTAGAGATAGCCCTTAGGTTTAGAACACACTGGTGTGATTAGTGGATAATTATTTTGTAATATTGTCTTCCAGTGAATGTCTAACATAACCCCAATTTCTTTTTTTTTATAACCCCAATTTCTTAGACATCTTTGGATATGTAACTATTTAAACTTATTAACCTTGGAAGTAAAAGCTATTCATAGTTGGGTGACACCTGTGGCTCAGTGGGTAGGGTGCCAGCCCCATGTACCAAGGGTGGAGGTGTTGAACTCAGCCCCAGCCAAATTGCAACAAAGAAATAGCTAGGTGCTGTGGCAGGCACCTGTAATCCCAGCTACTCGGGAGGCTAAGGCAAGAGAATTGCCTAACACCAGTAGTTGGAGGTTGCTGTGAGCTGTGACGCCATGGCACTCTACTGAGGGCAATAAAGTGAGACTCTGTCTCTAAAAAAAAAAAAAAAAAAAGAGCTATTCACAGTTATCAAAATGTACAGCTATGCTATCAAAAATTATCACTGCTGATGTGGCAGGCAGTTCCGTTCACAATTTCAACTTGGCTTTTTGGTGAAAACAGCTTCATTCATACAGCCAACTTTCTACTCTACTTTTCCTTCCTTCTATTACCTAAACAATAGTGTAACCTACATATAATAGTTATTTAGTAGTTTTTTGTTTGTTTGTTTTTTGTTTTTTGAGCCAGAGCCTCAAGCTATCCCCCTGGGTAGAGTGCTGTGGCATCACAGCTCACAGCAACCTCCAACTCTTGGGCTCAAGCGAGTCTCCTGCCTCAGCCTCCCAAGTAGCTGGGACCACAGGTGCCCGCCACAGCACCTGGCTATTTTTTGGTTGCAGCCGTCATTGTTGTTTTGGCAGGCTGGGGCTGGATTTGAACCCGCCACCTTAGGTGTATGTGGCTGGCATCTTACCCACTTGAGCCACAGGTGCTGAGCCTATTTAGTAGTTTTTAAGCAAACATTTCTGAAAGTCCAAAGGGACTGATATGACTGTGGAGATGAGCAGAGTTCTGATTAGGAAAAGAAAATTGCAGAATTTCTAAATCATTTTTCCTGTTAACTTACATCCTAATGGTATTAATCTTAGCTGGTAACACAGGTAATTTGAGAAGCTATTTACATGTTGCAATTACTTGACACTAAACACAGAAGTTAGGCCATACTCTATAGGCTAAGGGCATAGTCCTTCATAGGATAGCCCTGAACATCACCTTTAAGTTTGAGGACTCCCAGATATTTTGGCTCACTTCTGACCAATTAGGTATAAACGTGGGAGTTCTTGTGATAATCTGTTAGAATGACTTATAGAACTTGGGAAAGTAATGTATTCACAATTACAGTTTTACATTTGTTTTTTTTTTTAAGCTTGAGCAAATCAGAAGAGAAACAATTACAGTTTCATTATAGCAAAAAGGATCCTTTTTATTTTTTTTTTGAGACAGTCTCACTCTGTCAACCTGGGTAGAGTGCCATGCCTTCATTGTAGCACACAAAACCTGAAACTCTTGGGCTCAAGTGATCCTCATGCCTCAGCTTCTCAAGTAGTTGGGACGACAGGCGCCTGCCACAATGCCCAGCTAGTTTTTCTATTTCAGTAGAGACAGGGTCTCACTCTTGTTCAGTCTGGTCTCCAACTCCTGAGCTCAAGCAATCCACTTGCCTTGGCCCTCTAGGGTGCTAGGATTACAGGTGAGAGCCACTGCACCCAGCCAGGATACAAATTAGACCAGCCAAAGGAAGAGGGATGCATAAGGTGAAATCTGGGAGAGTTCCCTCCTACCTCTCTTTTTAAGGACTATTGTGATTATTTTGGGTAATCCCCATCCCAAGACTGCTTGAGCTATAGGCACCAAGCCTTTTTTTTTTTTTTTTTGAGATAGAGTCTCACTTTGTTACCCTGGGTAGAGTGCCATGGCATCATAGCTCACAGCAATCTCAAAATTTTGCGCTCAAGAGATACCCCTGCTTCAGCCTCCCCAGCAGCTGGGACTACGGGCCCTCACCATACTTGGCTAGTTTTTCTCTTTTTATTTGTTTTTATTTTTTTTTTTATTTTTTATTTTTTATTTTTTTGAGACAGAGCCTCAAGCTATCCCCCTGGGCAGAGTGCCGTGGCATTACAGCTCACAGCAACCTCC